CTCCTCGCCAGTCGGCAGCCAGTGCCCGCTACTTATACGCCCGGCTCGCCTCGCCCCCCTCCCCTCACAGTCCGCCCCCTTCCCCCCTCCCACCTCCGGCCCGGCCCCGATCCATCCCGTCTCAGGTGCGTGCCGACGGAGCTCCCGTGATTTGCTTGAAATCTCCGCTTCAACCCTGCTCGCTTAAGCCATGCGCTGTAGTATCCCGCGAGATTCCCCTTCTGCCTGTGGTTCTTTAGCAAGCGTTTGGGCGGTAGTGTTCGTCCGGGTGTTTTAATTCAGGCCGGGGAGGTGGATAGCGCGTGCTAATGGATGGCTGCTGCTGCTAATCTAGGCTATGGTAGCTGCGAGGTTAGTGAAGCCGTTTAGATTGCTCATCTCAGTTGGGTAGTACAGTAATCTCAGCTGGGAGCACTTTGAGGGGGTAGATTGATGGCTCTAGTTGCTTGTAGTTGGAGGGAGGGACGAAATGATTGGTTGGTCGTGGCACCTGTGTTTTGTATGGTTCCGTTATAGTTCTTCATCAGGGGGAACTCTTGTCTGGTGGACCAGGCCTTTTTTTGCTGTGAAACATTTTACATTCCAAGGGTTGGTGGTAGCCACTGTCCAAAATGAAACGAATTGTACAGGCTTCAGGCTTATTAGGGGGTGTGTTCTTCTGATTTGTGATGCTGGTAGGACTTTTCTGCTCGTAGCACTGGTCGATTCCGTCGGACTGAATTGATGATACAGAGCATTAAACACTTAGGAAAAGTACTTGCCTGCGTGCAAAATTTGCTTTTGCAAGAATTAATTCGTTCTCTCTCTGATTGATGCTGACGACAGCAATTAATTATGTTCTGTCTCTGATTCATGCTGACGGCATCTCCGTTCATTTCATCCGCAGTGAGCAAACATGGCGCCATCCATGAGTCTTGCTGCAAAAGGGCTGCTCCCCTTCGGAGCGCTCCCCTCGAGCGGCGTCGCGCAGAGGCCGGTGTCCGTGACCGCCTCCCTGGAGCACAAGCCGAACGATTCTAAGAGGAAGCTCCTGAAGCTTGCGCTCGGAGGAGTCGGCCTGCCCGCCTTGCTGAGTGCCAACAAGGCTCTCGCCGATGACCAGGGTGTGTCTTCCTCCAGGATGTCCTACTCGAGGTTCCTCGAGTACCTCGACAAGGACAGGGTGAAGAAGGTCGACCTGTTTGAGAACGGGACGATCGCTATCGTGGAGGCCATTTCTCCCGAGCTCGGCAACCGCGTGCAGAGGGTCCGTGTGCAGCTTCCCGGCCTCAGCCAGGAGCTTCTCCAGAAGTTAAGGGAGAAGAATATTGACTTTGCTGCGCACAACCAGCAGGAGGACTCTGGTAACCTCCTCTTCAACCTTATCGGGAACTTGGCCTTCCCGCTTATCCTTATCGGCGGTCTGTTCTTGCTGTCGAGAAGAGGAGGGTCTGGTGGCATGGGTGGACCCGGGGGGCCTGGCTTTCCTCTTGGTTTTGGCCAGTCCAAGGCCAAGTTCCAGATGGAGCCCAACACCGGTGTTACGTTCGATGATGTTGCCGGTGTTGACGAAGCAAAGCAAGACTTCATGGAAGTGGTTGAGTTCCTGAAGAAGCCAGAGAGGTTCACCGCCGTTGGTGCCCGCATTCCCAAGGGTGTGCTGCTTGTTGGTCCTCCTGGAACTGGTAAGACTTTGCTTGCCAAGGCGATCGCAGGAGAGGCTGGCGTGCCATTCTTCTCGATATCGGGTTCTGAATTCGTGGAGATGTTTGTTGGTGTTGGTGCCTCCCGTGTTCGTGATCTCTTCAAGAAGGCCAAGGAGAATGCTCCTTGCATAGTGTTCGTTGATGAAATTGATGCAGTTGGGAGGCAAAGAGGAACAGGTATCGGTGGTGGGAACGATGAAAGGGAGCAGACTCTCAATCAGCTACTGACTGAGATGGATGGTTTTGAGGGCAACACTGGCATCATTGTTGTTGCTGCCACCAACAGGGCTGACATCTTGGATTCCGCTTTGCTTAGACCTGGGCGCTTTGACAGACAGGTTAGTTTCTATCCAGCTTTTTTTAAGGTTGATAACATCAGTCTGGAATTTAATTTGCATGTCCCTATTTCCATATTCTTACCATTGCAATTATTCCTGCAACAGATTTTAGAAAGAAAAAAATCTTAGTGAGGTTCTCACGTGCTTGTAAACCTCAAGTCCAATTCTAGTTCAGAGCTTGAACTATCGTTGGGAAAACTTTGTTTTTGCCACTCTAGCTTTTGCCCATTTTGCTTATGCCACTCTAGAATTAGACATATCACTTTTGCCACTCTTAGCTTCTGACAATACATTACAAATGCCATTTAGTGGCAAAAGCAATAATTTTTCATTTCACTTTTGCCACTTCAGATTTTGACAATGTATCATAATTGCCACTCTAAAATTATTGTTTTTGCCATGGAATGGCAATTGTGATGTATTGTCAAAAACTAAGAGTGGCAAAAGTGAAATGTCAAATTCTAGAATGGCAAAAGCAAAGTGGTCAAAAGCTAGAGTGGCAAAAACAAAGTTTTCCCATCGTTAGAACCTATTTTTAAATATTCTGGATCTTTCTTAACATTTGGATATATCTCGTAACTTGTTTCACAGGTGAGTGTTGATGTTCCTGATGTACGTGGAAGGACAGAGATTCTCAAGGTGCACGGTAGCAACAAGAAGTTTGATGCTGATGTTTCCCTTGAGGTCATTGCAATGAGAACACCTGGGTTCAGTGGAGCAGACCTGGCGAATCTTCTGAATGAGGCAGCCATATTAGCAGGCCGACGTGGGAGGACCGGAATTTCCTCGAAGGAGATTGATGATTCAATTGACAGAATAGTGGCTGGTATGGAAGGAACTGTCATGACAGATGGGAAGAGCAAAAGCCTTGTTGCTTACCACGAAGTTGGCCATGCAGTTTGCGGGTAAGAGAGAATCTTCATCTCTTCGAATCCCCTATTTTGTTGAATATTGCATTGGATCTTGATGGATTTCTCAGCATTTCTATAGTGCATTTAGATACTATTTTGTGCTGGCAAAGACTTCCAGCCTCCTTTTGCATGCACCACCATGTTTAGGCGTAGTATAAGAGGCTTTTTTCTCCATCATTTTTCTGAAGGGGATACCGGGTGCTTATGCTTTTAGGTGTTTCTCTGTTCTTTGTCTATTACTCGCATTACAAACTTCCCAACAACCTGGTTCATATCTGAAGATGTTACTTTTTGCAGAACTTTGACGCCTGGCCACGACCCCGTCCAGAAGGTTACCTTGGTTCCAAGGGGTCAAGCCCGTGGTCTCACCTGGTTCATTCCCATGGATGACCCAACACTCATCTCTAGGCAGCAGCTCTTTGCCAGAATCGTCGGCGGCCTTGGCGGCAGAGCTGCTGAGGAGATCATATTCGGAGATTCTGAGGTGACCACCGGAGCTGCCGGTGACCTGCAGCAGATCACCGGCTTAGCCAAGCAGGTATGCTCCCATTTTGTCATGACAGCTTCTGCTAATCTATCAGATTTATCTAAACGTTTCATCGTACTGACCCCGATGCTTCTGCTGCAGATGGTGGTGACGTTCGGCATGTCGGACATCGGCCCGTGGTCTCTGATGGACGCGGCGCAGAGCGGGGACGTGATCATGCGGATGATGGCCAGGAACTCCATGTCGGAGAAACTGGCGCTGGACATCGACTCGGCGGTGAAGCAGCTGTCGGACAAGGCCTATGAGATCGCCCTGCAGCAGGTGAGGGACAACCGCGTGGCCATGGACAAGATCGTGGAGGTGCTCCTGGAGAAGGAGACGCTGAGCGGTGACGAGTTCCGGGCCATCCTGTCCGAGTTCACCGAGATCCCCGTCGAGAACCGGGTGCCCCCGACGCCCCAGGCCGCCGTCCCGGTCTAGGTTCGCCCGCGTTTATAGGGTTGGAGAATTTGCTGTTGTTGTAAGATGTTCATATTTCTTGGATGTACACTAATTCCTACTCGAGGCACGGCATGTAATGTAACTCACTCGCGGTTAATTATAAGATGTAATTACCAGGGAAGGATTTTTGCGTGAGGGCTCCTGGTTTCCCATGGGAAGGGAAGCCCTGATTTTCTGACGCAGAGGGGGGAAAAAGAGCCTTGGATATGGTCTTGTGAGGTTTCCCCATTTCGAACCTGAACTTCTGCGTTCAACAGTTAGTTAATCGTATGATCTTTCAAACGAAATTTGGTTTTACTTTGGTTTTGTTGGTGAATTTATGTACAAAACTGATCGATTGAACTATGGCAATGTGTGGATTGTACCCCACAAGTTTGTGACTTATACAAGATCTGGCTAGTGCATCACTACTCTGATTTACAACCAGACTTTTGTAGGGCTATGTTCACATTGGATATCTATCAGTCGGTTCACTATCTTGCCAAAGTGGTGGTGGTCTCCAGTCAGTCTTCTAACAAAGAGTTAGACGACCACATGACGAAACTTTTGACAAAGTTGCCGTCAGTTCTCTAGATAAGACCTGCAGCAAAGAGAACCCAACGTGTCCTCTGCCCCCATCGCATAGAACAAATGCCATGACACATGGCGTTATTTGTCTCGTCCATCAGGTAAAGGTAAACACAAAGGAAAGGGCCTGGGTTGATATTTTGGGCAGAAGGGTAGTTGCACCTACTACTTCCCCTTGATCAATATTTTTTTTATCACAGATGCTTACAAACACAACCATATAAATAATAAAATTACAATCAAATCCTTTGGAGCGTTGAAGTCTTTATCCCTTCATTCATCGTTGCGTGCCGTGAGCACAGCTCGATGATGCCTCGGCGGAGCAAGTTTTTATAAACCCAAAAGCTTGTGTAGCTGCGAAGTCATCGATGCAAATCAGGAGACATTGGCGGGCGTGATCTGCGAAGCAATCACCGCCCCGGAGAAGAAAACACCAATAAGGCCCTGTAAAAACTCCGAAGCCCACGAGCGCCAACTAAATACAAATGGAGGATCCACTGGAAACCTAAACCGACCGTATCCTGGAAGACCCGTCGCTCCGCACGCCCTCTGCCGGTGATATGCACACATACGGAACGGGGAAAGGGCGGGGATAGCATTATTCCTACACTAGGATAGCACTGCCGCAAAAACCAAGCACGAAGACTCCCTAAAGAAAAACTTGAAAATTTTACCCATGTCGTTGCATGATAGGTCCGGGTATGATGTTGGGCTCACTACTATCCAGGGCCGCGCGCCAAGACCCTCTTCTCCGGTGACCTAGATAGCTGGGTCGTCGTTGAAGATCGTCACGCTAGATCCCTTTGTCTGCCATTGTCGAGCACGGTCTAACGCAAATCACTCAAATACGCATCTCCTTCGCCATCTCGCAATCGCCCCCAGGCCTCTGCAATGGGCTGCCCCTGAACAGGATCTCCTCGCCGCCGCCATCCCGTTGGTTTTGCTCGACGACGTACCCAGGCGGCGACGAGAGGAAGAGAGGACGGGTGGCAGCTAGGGTTTCCTGGTCACCACACAGCCGCCTCTCTCAAGAGAGGAAGACGTTTTGTAACTTGAGTATGAAAAGCTCCCATGAGATCAAATTAGCAAGCCACCCCATCCAACGATAAAACCAAATTATAACTCCAGAGCTATCACACAATCAAACCTGAATGACATTTTTGTACTTCTTGTTTGATTTTGCAGTTACTTCTTCAGTTTAGAGAATAAAAAAAAGAGTAGTAAAGAATTCTTTTATCCACTTCATGCATAGTTTTCTCTTTAGCGATGGACACATGATAAAATGTGGATGGAAGTAAGAAATGGCCCATGGGAAGAATTCCTCTTTGCTTTTTCTCTTTTTGAAAATGACTCAAGTATATTATTAATGTTCACCAGAAGTACTAATGTAACCAATATTCCAGTGATTGGTTTTAACAGGTGTTCTATTTTGCAGTTCATAATTGTTGGATCGGTTCATCTCTATAGTAACGGGGATAACTATACTGTAAACATGAAAAGGCAGGAGCGTAGCATGTTCTCATTGCCTATCGACCTCTACATCAGAACAATGAACACACCATATTCAAAAGTTTATTGCATCATTACACTAGTTGCGAGGAGCTATGGTAGGATTAGGAAGAAGATCCCTCAAGAAAATCATCTCAACTCCTGCTTCTGACGTGGTCCGCTGGATCTTCCCCTTATTGGTTCTATACTCCTGATCTAGCTTTGCCCTACTCTCCTTTGCCTCTCGTCCTTGCCCCTTCAAGTCATGTGTCGTCGTTCTTCATCTCCTTCGAAGACCTCTAAATTTATCCTCCTTATACTATCACCCGTTAGCGGTGACCATACTTTTACTTACCCTCCCCCCACCCCTCAGACTTGCCTATTATCATTTCTGAGGAAGAGGGAGGGTATTGCCGTTCACCAGCACCATCCATCGTCTTCCTCATCGGCATTATCGCTCTCACAAATCGCATGATACGGGAACGCTACCTCCCATTCCCCTCGATTACCATAGTGTTCCACCAAGTTCGTTGTGCAATTTTCAAAACCCTAGCTTCGATGAACAACAAAATCACATTGCAGGGACGCTACCTCCCATTCTCCTCGATTACCGTAGTGTTCCACCAAGTCCGTCGTGCAATTTTCAGAACCCTAACCTCGACGAACAACAAAATCACTCTGCAATCGTACCAAATAAATGAAACCACACATAATTCTGACTTTTGCTTTGCACAAGAGGAAGAACCGGCAAAGAACCATCACTGCCCTGCCTGTCTCACAGGTTGGGACCAAACACGACAGAAACATGGCCGCCGCACAACAGAATCGGACCCAAAAGAGAAAAGGAAAAAAAATCACACACACATTCTCAAGCGGTGCGGCGCGGTGGCTCCTCCCCATTCCCGAGTTCCGACCGGCCACCGAGACACGGACACACACACCCCGCGGCTCCGACCGACCATGGCCGCCGCCTCCGCCGCCGCCCTCGCGTCGCCGCGCACCGCGCGGCAGCTCGTCGACGCCCTCACCGCGCACCTCTCCCTCTACCACGCCGCC